TATTTAAATAAATTATTTTGAATAGTGCTTAATATATAATAATTATAAAATAAAGAAAATTTATTGAAAATAAACATTTTATTTCTATAATAACAAAAATTTAATATATCGGCGGTTTATTTACACATTATGGAAATGGAACTAGGACTTCCAAACTACAAATATAAACAACTATAATAATAATAGTAATACTGCCAGTCTTTTTGCATTCAACAATATTTTTATATTTTTCTACCAGTTTTCCCAAAAGAAGTTCTTCAAAAGAAGAAAAATTTGCATTTCTTTCTGGGTTATCCATTTTACATAATTAATTGTTGTATTTATTATTAATACTGGTATTATTTCAAATTTACTTACGTTTTTTAAAAAGAATTTTTACAAATATACACCGTATTAAAACGAAATAACGAAAATATCCATTTTACATAATTAATTGTTGTATTTATTATTAATACTGGTATTATTTCAAATTTACTTACGTTTTTTAAAAAGAATTTTTACAAATAAACACCGTATTAAAACGAAATAACGAAAATATGGAATTGCCATCTGTCAAAATGACGCTCAGTGATAAATAACCAATATTACACAATCAAGTATGGCTCTATCTTCTTTTAACAACACTTTTACAAGAGAGAAAGCATTAGCCGGGAACGAGAATTAAACTTAACTAATATAATCAATAGTAATACCAACCTAAATAGTTTTAAAGAAAATTCATGTTAACAAATCATAAGACAAAAATAGATTGAAATACGCATAACTTTTTAATTCATAATTAATTCGTGGTTGATACTTAATTTTAAATTAGTTAATCAGCACATTTAACATTCGATTGTAAAACCGGGCCTAAGACTTTAATTTAGGGTTATTTTGACATTTTGACATTTTGACTTTTTTATTTGATTGGTTAAAAGCAGAGAAAAACGCGTGCGTTAATGAACTTCTTATCTCACTCAAAATGAGTTGGATAAGAAGTTCTTATCTCACTGGCGTAGATAAAAGAAATTAAACACACGTGAATGTTGTCCAATCATTGGACTCCAATGGTGAATGGGAATTTTGTTAAAGCTACTGAACGGTAATACTTGTAGTGGCTTTATAATAATTATAATGTATATACCCTATTGAAAATGCCATATAGAACCCATATTGAATCCGATAAGGAAACGTATCTGGTTCTATATGGTTTTATAGGTCCTATATGGAAAGTCCTGGTTTACATTACGGATTCTATATGGTTGAATATGGATTTCCATTTTAAAAATTTTCATATTCAACCATATAGGGAAACCTATCTGGAAATACATATAGAACAGAAACCACATAAATCCATATACAACTATATACATGTCTTTATAAAGACATGTATATGGATTTATCTGGTTTCTGTTCTATATGTATTTCCAGATAGGTTTCCCTATCTGGTTCTATAGTGTTTTAGAGTGTTTTTATCTGGTTCTATAATGTAATCTTCTATCTGGTTCTATAGTGAAATGCCTGTTTCAAATACCTATATTGAACCAGATAGAAACCATATAGAATCCAGATACGTGTTTTTTATATGGTTCTATATGTCATTTTCAATAGGGTATTGTCCAGGACTATTATTGATCAGTAACTCGCAAATTAAAAGAAGAAAAAGTTTCCTAATTACTGTTTATCTTTTTCAAACCAAATGGATGCTATTTTCAAAGACAGGAAAATTAACTACTAGATTTTTCACAAAAAGGTTGAACCCAACAGCAAATAATTTTTATTTTTTTTGTTTTTTATTTCCCCCTTAAATTTCACAAATTTTTGATCTGCTTAGCTGAAAATAATGCGTGATTTAATATTTGTAAGACCAAAAACTTTTTTACTCCAAAAATGTCCATAAGGCGATGTACTTTTTCTGCCATTGAGGCATTTAGCATAACATCATCGAAATGAGGTTTTGCCCTTAAAAGTTATTTTAATTTAGAATCTGATATTATTTTTGGCTTAGTTATCTTTTTATATCGATATTATGTAATAATTAACAAGTAAATTATCAATAATAAATAGTACTGTCAATTTGACAGTGTCAGAGTATTTAATTAAGGTCTTCAGCAGAAGTACCATTTTTTAAATACTAAAATTATCTACTAAATCAAACTGGCATAAGCTACCAACTTAATAAAAAAACACGAGTCTAAATTTAAAAAAATTAACTTGGATTTCGTTATTAAATCTACAAAATGTTTGTTATAAAGTAAACAGGTTACAGTTGGTTGTAAACTTTTAAGTTTGTTAAAACATAAAGTTATGTGGATCTGGATTAACATAAAATCTGGTTAATATTTGGTTAAAATTAACAAATTTTTTTTACTGTGTACATTTATTTTTTTTCTAGCTTAGTATTAAATTTTTGCATGGCATGTCATCAAGACATCAACCCACATCTAATAATGCAATATTACCAACTAAAACTATACCAGCAAAAAAAATCCAGCAAATCAGATCGATTACCAAACGAGCGTAATTTTTGGATCACGAACGCTTTGAAAATGACGTTTAATATAAAACAAACGATGGCGGATGAGTCGACATATTTTTCTATTTCCGTGCGTATTCGATTCGATGCCTGATTACCCAAGTTGCGTGTTAGGGATAATGGGCTTGTAAATCTCTTTTTGGGGGATTTAATGTTACAGGAAGTAGTTGGTAGTACCGCATCCATTTGTCAGTTAATAAGATGACGTTTAGTCGAATATTAAGTAATATTTCATTATATTTGAAATAAAATCTTTAATGGGAGTTTTCTTAAAATGTCAAATTTAAACATCCAAAAACACTGAAACATCTGACTAAGTATTCGATGTTTTGTATTTGCTTACTAAAGATCATTTAAAACAAATCAATTAGCCGAATATTTGTTCAGTTATAGGCCATAAAACCGAAGAATTCCACTTAAAGACTGAAATTTTATGCGTTCGCCGCCCGACTCGTGCTTTTCACTGTTATTTCAAGTCCGACAACATGTCAGCCTGCTTCTTAATGGAAACCATAAGTCCTGAACTTCTATGATTATTTTTAAAATCCTTCGTAACAGGTGTTCTATAGTATACTATAGGGTGGCCCTCAATTGTAGATCTGCTTCAACCAACTAACATTTCTGGTCGATTAGATTGAAAACAGAAGTAAAAAGAAGAAAAGTTCAAAAATAAATATGGGTGTTTCCATCTCAAATTGACCAGGCAAAAAGGGGTAGGTAGGTCGTTATTTTTTAACAAATTTTTTTTTACACTTTCTTTACCGAAATCGATGAGACCCGTATTTTTTCTTTTTGCTTAAATTTGTTTTGTTCACCCGTAGGAAATTTTTTAAAAATGGACAGAAACATCGATTTTTTTTACAAGTGACTTTTTATCTTGAAAATGCGATAACTTGGCCGTTACGTTACGTTTTTTTAAATTGTTGGTAAATGTTAACTACATACAAAAAAATTAAGTGATTTCACTCAATTTTGTTTTTAATTGTTGTTTCTAAAAAAGAAAAAAAAATTAAGGTCAAAATTTTGCAATTGCCACATTTTTTTACTTCATATTTTTTTCGTTTGATGTTGATAATATGAACAACTTTCACCAAAAGTCCCGACCCGAGTTGGCTAAATTCGTCATTTCGGGATTATTGGTATTTTATCTAGGCTCATGAAACAGGGGTGACCTTTATAAAGTGTAATTTAGGTATAACTTTTTGACATATTTAACATATTTTTGTCACTTCCGGTTATACCGGATATGCTCTTTAGTAAGTAAATTAAATAATTAAAGATTTTAGAGTAAAATATAAATTCTTAATATTTTTGCATGTGTTACTTTTAAAAGATGTAAAAAGTATACGTAAGTAAATTTTGGTTAAAATAATATAAAGTAAGTATTACATATCTAAAAGTAATGAATCGAATGCACATCTTGCAAGATATAAAACGCGATTTTGAAGAAATGTAAAACACAAAGTAAAAGAAATGTTAATTAATATTTACTTACTAGCAAAACAAACGAATTGTTAAATCTGATACTTTTTTTAAACACAAAGATTTCAAAGCCTTCTTAATTTATTTACAAAATTTAAAACCCAATAAACATTCAAATTTAATTAAGAGTTTGAAAGCGATATTATTAAAAAATGCATTAATATTTGGTACAAATTTTAAAAAAGTGGATTTTTTTATGACCAACGAACCAATTCTTTTATTAAAAAAAATATTTTTGGTTTTTCAATTTTTGAAAGCTCCTAAAAACCAGCATTGCAAAAATTGATTTGACCAATCAAAAATTGACAAATGACATATGTTTGTATTTAGAATTTTATTTTGAATCGAAATATGTAAAAATGCCAAGGGTGTTTCATTAAAAAATAAAAAGTCAGACCATTTCCAGTGAAACCGGAAGTGACAAAAATATGTTAAAAATGTCAAAAAGTTCTAAATTACACTTTATAAAGGTCATCCTAGTTTCATGACTATATCCCCATATCTATAGATAAAATACCAAATTTTTGCGATGAACCACTACCTACTAGAAAATAGCATTTTCATTAAAAACTTCAAACAAAAATAATTTAAAGTAAAAAAAAACATGTGGCAATGTCAAAGTTTTGACCTTATACTTTTGTCTTTTTAAAAAAATATTAAGTGAATGTATTTTGTTTGTATGTAGTAAATATTTTTAAAACAAATTTTAACGATCAAAACAATTTTGGCCAACTTATCGCATTTTCAAGAAAAAATTTCACTCTTTAAAAGAGATAAATCGATGTTTCTGTCCATTTTTCGAAAATTTCCTAATGGTGAACAAAACAAAATTAAGCAAAAAGAAAAAATACGGGTCTAATCGATTTCGGTAGAGAAACTGAAAAAAATTTCGATAAAAAAAACGACCTACCCCTTTTTGCCTGATCTGAAATTGAATTATAAGCTTGCCTTATGTGAAATATTGGAATATCCCTTCGTGGTTAAATCTAGTAACATTTCTTACCTGCAACAGTCAAGGTGGCATTCCTGCTGCGGACCTTCCCCAACGCGTTGCTAGCTTCGCACCAGTAAACGCCTCCATCGGACTCCTTGCGGCTCTGCATGACCTTGAGGAAGAACAGACTTCCTGCCGGCAGCAGCACCCGATGAGAGCGCGCATCCTGCGGCGCGGTGCGCAGCAGGTCGCCATCTTTGTACCACGTGATCGTCGGTTCGGGTTTCCCCGACGCCTGGCAGTTCAACGTTGCCGGCTCGTGCCTGGCGACGCTGGTGTCGACAGGATGCTCGGTTATTTTCGGGGGTTGCTGGTTTTCATGGTGGTAGCCTGAAAATGAATGATAATATATTAGTACATTGGTTTACAGCCAAAATGAACATTTTTAATATTTTTTGTATTTTCTGAGAACATTTACAATAGTAATGTATATTTTTTTTACACCATCAGAAAGTAGAGAGTTCATCGAACAAAAAGCACACCGACTTTTTGAAAAAAGCTGATATTTTGACGCCAGAATTTTCGATTGAAAATTAGGGTGCTTTTTTGATATTAAGTCAAAATAAGGCGAAATAATAAATATTTGAAATAAAATAAATTACAGTGTATTTGGGACATAAAAAGGTAAGTTTTCACCAAATTTCGTGGAAAAAAATTTTTTTTTGAAAAAGTTAAAAATAAAAAACCAAAAACTTGGTTTTTTGAATTTTTCACATAAATTTTGAGGTTATGTGAAAAAATTGTAAATACAAAAGTTGTAGATCTTTTTATTACCTACAACTTTGACATTTAACTTTTTTCCATAGGACTTGTAGTTTTGCCGGAAATCGAGATAAACCATTTTTTACCCTTAAACCCCCCCCCCTCCCACTTCCCGAAGTCAGATCGCCCGTAATTTATTTTTCCTTTCATTTTTATTATATTCTTCTCCTTTTCCAATGAGTTTTATCCTACTGTTATTTTTTTTCTCTTTTTACCATTTTTAAAGGCTTCTGCACTGGTCTATTTATAGATTTGAATTTTATATCATCTAAATTCGATATATGCAATATGTTGTTCTATCCTTTTCATAATATATGTATCAAAACAATCGTAAATTTGTTAGAATTTGACAGTGTCAATTTGAATGTCATGACCAAATTTAAAAAACGCTAAGCTAGCAAAACCAATGCTTTTATCAAGAAAACTGGGCTTTGATAGCTATTGGTAACGGTTGTTTATTTGTAAAATTCGTTAAAAAACGTGATGGACATTCAGGTATACATTTATAAATTTAAAATAATTTTAACTATCATGTATTAAAAGACAGAATTTACTAACAGTTCTGTATTAAAATAGTATATTAAAGTACAAGTTGCAGAAGGCCACATATTCTCGCACGAATTCGAAATTTGGCCTCGAGCGACGAAGGAGCGAGTGGACGAACGAATGAGTGCGAGAATAGCCTTCTGCAACGTGTGATTTATACTATTTTCTCGATTTTAACTTTTATTTAGGTTTTTTTAATTGTTTTGTGGTCGTTGTTAGTTAGGGGATTTTTCTCGCAAAATGTCAGTTGGCAACACAAAATGACAATATTTGTTATCCTTCACAAGTACAACCTGAACTGCACTTTTACACATTAAACTTAAAATTTTGCATTAAAATGCATTGTTGGAGCAAACTTTATATTACAAAACAATAATAAAGGCTTCATTTTCAATAAAAGTAATGAATTTGAGGTTATTAATCAGTTTGACATTTTGGGGGTACCAATACTTAAAAACTAAATGTTACCAAAAATCGTTTAAGAATGAGCTTCATTCTTCAACGATTTTGCGTGCGAGAATATGACATTCTTACATAAAAATCGAGAAATATTATTTCCAATCAATTTTTGCAAAGATTTCTAACTATCATTTTTAATACAAATAATTTCTTTACCAAAATATATTTTTATATATTATTATTATATTATTATACTATATTATATTATTAATATATTTTAATATATTAAAAAAATTTAACTTTTTAAACACTTTATATAGTTTAAAAAGTTAAATTTTTTAAACTCAAAACAATTGATAATCAAAAAATATTTTATTCTACAAAATTAATGGTTTAAATTTGTAAAGAGTCATTTAAATGATTTTTAATACAAAAATTCTCACATTACATTTAAATGTCACTCTTGAGAAATATAAACAAAAAACTTGTATTTTTAACAAATTTAAATTGATACATTCACATTCACATATTCACATTGCATTTAAAAGAAAGTCAAAAATTTATAATTTATAATTCACAAAGTGTAAACGCGGATTTAGCTTACTACAATAATGCATATAAATGCATGCTTAAAATTGACCGCTCTAAAGAGACAGCGTACGCCGTCTGCTAAAGCTACGTTTACACTTTGTAAATTAAAAATTATCGACTTACATTTAAATGTAAAGTTATACATTTTGTGTTAAAAATGTATCAACTTTAAATTGTTAAAAATAAAAAGTTCGGTTTGAATTTGTAAAGAGTTATTTAAATGATAGTCGATAAAAAATTATCACTTTAAAATTTAAATTTAGGTACATTTAAATGTAATGTGAGAATTTTTGTATAAAATATTTATCGACTATCATTTAAATGACTCTTAACAAATTTAAACCGAAAATTTTGTAGAATAAAATATTTGAACTAAAAAACCAAGAACCAAAAAGTTTTACATTAGTATTTTATTTAAAAAAAAAAATTTTACTTTGTAAATTTCTGTTAAAACATCATTACAGTGCTAAACTAATCTTCAAATTATTATCTGATAAATACTAAAACGGCGTTCCATACAGAAAAGACCAAGGATCGCTATCAAGCACAAAGGCTCAGCAGAAAAAATGTAGAAACAATAACCGAAGATGTTTTACTCTGATCTATCAAAACACTTTATAGACAAACATTTCGATGATAACAATGATATTGTCAGCAGAAAAAATAATGCATTTTCTTGTGGAATCTTCGGACAGTCAATTTTTACCAAAGGCAATCGTAGTAATTTTCGCAATTTTTGGAGCTTGCCGCAACGAGGAAATTGTTTCCTTGATAATTGATAACATAAAAGACGTTGGACGCTTTATAATTAAGAAACCACAAGACGCAAAAAATTAATCACTATTACGGAAGACGATACTCCTTTTAAGAGTTGTGCACTGTATAGAAAATGTGCCGCACTAAGACCCTTCAATTTTTAAAGTCAACGCTTTTTTGTAGACTACGGCATGTGGGAATTCCCAAAATAAAAAGATTCCCCAAAAAATTGCAGTTTTTAAACTTGGAGAATTCTGAATGTTATACAGAGGTTTAGGAGATCGTCAGCCAGTATGTTAACGGAAAACGGTAGCGATCTCCTAAACTTAAAACAATTTGGGGGCAGGAAATCTTCAGCAGTTGCTGAACAATCAATTACCAATTTAAATTTTAATTAATTTAAATTATAGTTTGTATTGTGTCCATCAAGCATAAAACTCATTATTATGAAATAATTACTTTTGCGCATTTTTCATAATCAAAAAAGCTTGCGCATCTTCCAAATTAAATTCGTCCGTCAAACTTTCTTCTAACTAAATTAAACACTTGTCATATCGTTTTGTCGTTTAATGTTGATTGATGTTTATTATAAAATTTTCCGGCATATAAATCGCATAATTTAATCTGAGAACTTTTGAATGCGAGCGCCTAAAAAAAACTTATATCCATTAACATGGGAATTTGCTCGTTTTTCTGCTTCATTATGCTGCACATAAAATCTCCATATTTGCGATAAACACGATGAAGTTTTTAGGAAAAAAGGATCTGCCTGCGCGCTTTTGAATAATTAAAATGGTCTAATTAATATTCCAGCTCTCCATCAATTACGGAAGTTTGATGCTTCGGAAAACAAACTAGTGAAAAGCTCTTTTAATCATTTAGAAAATATCTCTCTCTTTTCTCCATTCGAGGACTCAAACAAACTCCCAACAAAAATTAAATATTATGGAATATTATACGCAAAAGTCTATTAGTACATTAATATATATATACATATACAGGGTGTCTATTTAAAAACGAGCGATGCTCTATAAATCTGGACCATACATTTTAAGTGTCACCATAAGAAAAAGTCTAATGGTATTGAATCTGGAATATCTGGAATCTGGAATATATTGGCCCTCTTCTACCAATCCATTGTTCTAGATAATTCTGATCCTAACAGCTACTACATAATGAGGTGGTGCCCAATCTTGTTAAAAATGTAATTCATTTTCATCAAAAGCTAGTTCAACACCATCTTGATTTTCTAGCTATTATTATTGGTGGCTGTATTGTTTCATCTAACATTTCAAAATAAATTTGACCATTCAAATGTTGGTCAATAAATTATACAATCTCTCAAAATTCCTGCCCAGACATTAAGAATTTCTCTGATGAGATGATGATTTTCATTGCTCCAATAACGACAATTTTGTTTGTTAACATTTTTATTTAGATAAAAGCGAGGATAAAAGTACACAGAGAAAAATTAGTTTGAAAAACTTTGCAAAAAGTTGTGCAACATGCCATTGGAGCATAATTTTTTATAAATGTGCTACGTTATCCAAGATAGTTGGATTGGTTTTTCTAATTAGTTTGTTTAAGTCAATTTTCTATAATTTGTTGGAAACAGTAAGATTTAATATTTAACCATTTGCACAATATTGTCGAGAAAATAGTTGAAACCTGTTGTTAAAAATATTTAAAAATAAATGTTACTCTTTTGAACAGTTTTTTAAATAATTCGTATAAATATAGTATAACTTTGAGTAAGAATTTAAATTTTACAATATTGGACAATTTGTTCGGGAGTGAAGCATTACACCACCTAAGATAACCAATGAAATGATTTCCCGAATGAAATAAGACGCCGGTCGGTCGCTCAACTGCAATCTGCATCATCAGTTTGCAGTTTTAGTTAGTGTTAGGAAGTGTATCATTGTGAGGTTAGTACCACATTTATGGTGAGTAATTATTAAATATTATTTTTCCGAATAGGTAGGTAGGTATTTGCAAAATTGTTCAGGGACTGGGATAAATCAATAATTATGACCTGGTGATCAAAAGAGGATAAAAAGTGTTTATATGTTCCTACTGTGCTACAATATTGACCAGCTTACTATTTACTATAGTTTGTATTTTTTTTTAGTTTATATTAACTTGGTTATAAAATTTTTGTGTTGGTCGCTGAATACCTACACATTTAGTTTATCGACATTTGTACCATTATAAGAGGATATGCAGTTTATATTGAATTATATCTCAATATTAGAATTAGCAAAACGAATTTTATT